CAAAATGACTACGTTACTTGCGTTCTACGTGCACTAAATGTTGCTAATACCATGTCGACGGCGATATTGATGCGTGTGAAGCCCCGCTGTGTCAGTCCGTATCCGTTTTCTAGGGTTTTGACACGAAACTGGCATACTGATTTCGATGAAAATGAGTGTACGCTCTGGTTCCAACCCTTGAGGTGGGTTGTTGTTGTTGTTGTTGTTGTTGTCCTGATAAAAAAAAACGTTCCGGTCTCCATTCAGTACCTTCTAATATCCGTACGGGTCCAACTGACTCGGGCGCCTTCCGTGGTTACAGGCCAACTGAAACGGAGGTGGTAGCTTTCTGCAGGAGTACAAAAAAGTCTCATGGAAAAGCGTGAGCTAACCTCAGGACACCGCCAGGTGCTGCACACACGATAGGAAGCACCCATCCCTGCTGCCCTTTGGCTTCTGCAGCTTCTTCTGTTTCTCTTGACAAGCTCTCGACTCCCGGGACAAACGGCCACGTCCATGTATGCTTCGACTCATGAAGGACGGACTTCCATTCGACGTTTTATTGCGTTCCAACCTGAGTCGAACGAAAAACTCTTCTGCCGAACACGAACAATCTGTCTGCATGGCTTTTTGACAGTTTTACAACAACCACCACCACCACCACAACATCATCATCATACCATGACATTACCGACCACCTCAACACAACAACACCACCATCAAACCACAACACTAACACCACCACCAACAACAACAAGAACAAGGTGATGTGTACTTTTGGCGATAGCAAACCGTTTCTGTCGTTCCCGACGAAAACAACACCGTACCAGGTACTGGGTCAGCTGTCGAGAGTGACGGACCACGTGCGCGTCATCCAGGAAACCACCGGCGCCACCAACGAGCTGCTCAAGTATCGAATAGAAGAAGCCTTCACGGACATACAGAGGTGGGCTAGTGGGCGTAAGTTTTCCAGATGGTGTCGTGTTTCGGGGGGCAAAGCGAAAGGGCACATTTCCGTTGTTCGGGGGATTGGGGCGCGTCCAGCAAACAAACTAAAACACGATGAGAATCACGATGAAGAGAAAAATATGAGGTGGGAATTTTCGGCTCGAGTTTCGAATTCAAAAACCGCGCTAGAAAATCAGGTGTTTCGGTATATAGATTGGATGGGAAGAAGGAAAAACATGAGATCGGAAATACAGCTCCCGGGTCGGAGAAACGATCTTGCCGGGGTCGGGGCTACCAGCGCGAGGATACTTGCGGTCGAGACGAAGACGGAACTGGGTGAGGCTTTGGAAGCCAGGGTTGCTCTAGCGTGGAGCTTCGATAACGAAAACAGCGGCCTTGTGATCGAGAACAGGTTGGGAAAAGTGTTCGGGGCTTCGAGGCTGCGCCGAATTTCGAAAATTCGAACACGAGAGTGGCCGCGAGTGGAAGTAGACTACTGGCTACTTGCTGGTGCTGACTGGAGGATAGAAGCTCAAATACACATACATGTGGCACGTGCACAGTGCACATGCAGCCTGTAGCCTGTAGCCTGTAGCCTTCAGGTTGGTAAGCGCTTTGCTGCACAACAAGGGGTTTGTTTCGCTTCGTTCGAAAGATATGAATAAAAATGATCTGCTATTTATTTTTCTTCGAAGTATTGAATTTTGGTGTGCTGGTTTGCTTCTTCTTCTGTAAAATAAATATGTAGTAGGTAACATCTCAAATTGACACGCACGCGTTTATATTTATGTTTGCTTTTACACATTGAAATGTCAGCTGGTAGGGCGTTTGCTCGAACATGCAGACGCGTACTGACCGACACCTACTGCTACCAAAGATAGCAGCAGCGAATTTCTTACATTCCAACATCGTAAACAAGACTGAGAAAATACAAGAGTATATCGGTAAAGATATACTTCTCTTAAGTAATAACGATGATACATCACTTCAAATTAGTGCCAGAAAGTAACGAAATGACTCATACTACGCCAAATTTTTTCCCTGCGGGGGCCCCTCCGGGGAGGGTCGCTGTGGTTATTTCTTGTAGGTTGCTGCTGTCACTGCTACTTCTGTTGTTGTGTTGCTGCTGCTGCTGGTCGTCGTCGTCGTAGACGTGGTACGTCTGGTGCCGATACTGATGTTGCTGCTTCGAATGGTGACGATGCTGTTGTCTCTTCTGGTACCGCTGAACATTGCATTGGTAATCTAACGCTGCTTCTGCTACTGCCGCTTCCGCCTACTCTAGCGCCTCCGAGGATATGGACACGAAGATCCGGAAGATCACGGACATGTTCGGCCTAAGCGCCAATCCCGACGACAATGACGCCTCTTCGTTCCCAGAGATGCTAAGAAATATTGGCGATCTCGAGAGACTGGCCTTAGTGTGTCGAGACGACATAGACGAGCAGACGGTAAGGGCGTTACGGTAGATAGTATGGACTGCAGCTACTGTGGCACCTCCCACCCTTATGAAACGGCGTATTCAGGGGGCGGAACGAGTGCTTTTTTTTGTGTGTTTGATGGAATCCTGACGACGATGGACGGTGATCACAGCTCTCGTTTCATCACCGCCTTTGGATCACCAGCCCCCAAGAAGGAAAATACCACTACGGAAAAATGAACGTGAGATGCAAATGTGATGATGGCGAAAGGAAAATGATAACAACAAATTCCACCGACGACAACAACAGGAGAACACGAAGCGTCTTACCCAGAGGATGGAAAAGATCCAGGAGTCGGTGGAGGAGCAAGTCGAGTCTCTGGCAGAAGCCTTCAAGGGAGAATTCGGGGAGGGAATGTCGAAGGTATGCGTAACTTTCTCCTGGAAACAACGCGCTGTTATTTACTAATTTGGCGCATTGGTGTGTTAGTTTGATCTTGGCGTTCGTCACTTGCATCTATTCTGATAGAAGTAACACGACGCGGACGGTGTATTCACTTGGTCTGAGGGGTAACCTGGCCGAGCAAGTGAAGTGTAGGTTTTGGGGAAGGACGTCCCCATTTGTTTGCTTTGTTCGTTACATTTTGCGATGTAGTAAACCTTTGTCTTGAGGCACTTGATTCGCTCTTGCACGTTTCAGTCTGTTTCAATATAACACCCAAGAGAGTCACGGGAAGACCGTTCATTGCAGACAGTCTTCAAGGGAACCTGTGTTCAAGAAAGAAACACTAGACCTGTCGAAGGAAACAATTACGTATATTGGCGAATCAGTGGCACCTGTCAGAGAGGCCGGACATCACTGATTCCGCGGAAGCCTGTCCACCGAAGGTTGGGTGGTGTTGTGGCCCGAACCAGAACACCTTTTTCACACGGTCAACGCTTCGTAGAGCTTATCTGAAACTCTTCTTGGTAAGCGACAAAGCGTCCGGCGCGAAACGTCTCGCCGTCATGCCGTCCGTGGTACGCCACTTGTGTGTTGTTTCCATCGGGCGAGGAAAGGTCCTGGCTAAGACTGTCAGGGAGCATTCGGTAGGGGTAAAATAACACTTTTTTGCTTGTGCGGAATCACCCCCGGTTGTGTGCAACAATATCGCTTGACTGTTTCGTGTCTTCTCCAGTGTTTCGGTTATCCTAGAGCACCATATACTCCGAGGTTGGAGGTGTTGCCTGTTTTCAATGCCGTTCTCTGCTTCTCTCTCTCCTCTCTCCTCTCTCCTCTCTCCTCCTCCTCCTCCTCCTCCCTCTCCTCCTCCTCCTCCTCCTCCTCCTCCTCCCTGTGTCTCGCGGTGCGTGCGCACTCGTTCTTGGGGTAGAGCTTCGACCCGCCCTCAACCAACTGACCAACGTATAAGCTTCAGTCTGACCGGGACTAAAAGCTTGCAACAACGCACCCTGCGTGAACGTAATGATATGTAACTGCGTGTTTGCAGATGGTGGCGGATCTGGAGACCAGCATGGGGCAGCTAGAGAAAAAGGTGAGAGGACACGTGCAGGAGGGGGGGTGTACTCATAGTCGTGCATGCCGTGGTCGTTACACCGTTGACCTCACACCCCTACGAAGCCGGGACGGAGCACGCCGGGTTGTCACCGGGCCAGGCTCTCACATCACCAAGCACGAAGCGCCGTGAGGTATTCGACGAGTCGCATGAAGGGTGCGCTGCATCCTGCTAAGGGTTTTCGGCATCTTGCGCATACTTCCTTGGGTACGGATGACAGCTGCGTATGACTTGATTTATTTTCTGGTGCTTCACTTCCAGAGACAGTTGTAAGCACTGTGTAAACTTCCTCGAGGGTGCTTGACCAATTTAACTCATCGTGGTGCGATTTTCCCCCTTGCGCGGTGTGAGGGTTCTCCACCCCGCACAACATGATCTACTCGACCACCATTCATGGTAACCGCAAAAAAACAACCCAAAGGCAAAAAAGCATTAACCTGGTTGCCGAGCTCACAAAGTGATCGGCTTCTTTTACAACATCGCCGCCAAGCGACAAAAACCCAATCCCGATGGCAAACACCGGAGATAGAGGAGGGGGCGAGGGAACTCGAAGAAGAGACGCGACGACGCCGACAACGAATACAGCAGCGAAGGGGGTAGATACATGCACCGCATGAGGAGAGCGGCGATTTCTACGTAGCAGCTAGGAAGTGAAGACGGCTTTCCTCGCAGTATTCGCACACCCTGAAGGGGGTAAATCATACCTTGATATCGGTAGAGCTTGCCTTGTGGGGATAAAAAGCGTACTGTACCCTAACAGCCAAAAAGGCTTGCCGTGACATCGGTAAACCATGGCGTGACACAAGCAACTAGTAAGACTATTGCAAGGGACATAAAGGAAATCGGAAACACGCCCGATTTCCGCCCTTTGAGCGCCAAACGAAGGGGTGGCCACACCGCGGGAAGGACTACTTTTTACCTACGCTGTTGTTGTCCTGAGAATCAAGACCGTGCTAAGCCCTCCAAATGCCAACCGAAGCCAAAACGTCGATTATCCATAGAACTAAATGTTGTAAAGTCCACACCCGCAGGTGGAGGGGGAGGTGGCGCAGCAGCTTGGAGACTGCACCCGAAAACTGGACGCACTGGAAGAGCAAATGCAAGACAAGTCGGCCTCTGCCATGGGTAAGTAGATTAGCCAGTGAAGCCGAAAGCGACGTCGTGTTGGGCAATTCTTCCGCTTCTAGCGAAACAGAAGAGCAACATAGAGAGCGAGGTGAACATGTTCCGGTGGTTTTGAGCAAGTTTAGAGCCTGTCTTTGAAGTCACGGGGGCTCGTCATGTCAAGCCATTGGCCGGCTGTCGAGAGGGTTTGCTTCGACTTAGCTGTCTGCCTTCTCATGGGCAGTTTCTACCTTAATATTGACAAAACGAGTGGGTATTGGCTGCCCTGTTGCACGTCTCAGCATCAGCTTCTGTCGGGGTATCGTGCAAACATCGGCCGTGTGCCTCTCTCCGCTCTGTCACATGTAGCCAGCGCCCGGCTGTCGCAGCAATCAGCTCCCTTTCTGCCGCCTCTCGCTCTTTCTTGGTCTGCATCTTGAATCGCCACCTTAAAACCAGTCGTGGAATCGGTTCAAGAGACCCTGATAGAGCAGGCCAAGGTCCAAAAGGAGAATTTCCAGTCTAGCCAAGACGAACTCAAAGCATCCATGGAAAAAAGCTTGGAACGGAGACTCTGCAGGTTCGGACAGGAGGTGGGTGGTCGTTTGGTCATCCTAGCTGCTGTTTTTCGTCGTTCGTTCGAATTGCTTTCCCACACATTGTTGTGTCCGTCGTCTCCCTTGCCAAACGTGTGTGTGTGCGCGTTTTCTTTTTGCGTTTTATGATACTTCTTTCCCAGATGGCCCTCCTGGGAACGCGCGTGGAAGAGGTGGCCACAACCGCAGCGACTTCCTCGGACAAGGTCAACGCCGTCAGTTATTCCGCCGCGGCCCTCCACAGCCAGCTCGAAGGGATGAAGCAAAAGAATGCGACCGATGTGCCGGCGTTGGATCAGAAGGTAGGCTACGACCTGCTGATTGAGCTTGCTCTGTGTTTGACGCGTGGTCTCTTCAGTGCCCAAGGTTTGTTTTAGCGTGAGGAAGGCATCCGAAAGCGCCCGAGGTAGCTCACGTGTTATGGGGCAAATTGTGCTGTGCCAACTGGAAGGGATGGCACGCCTACCCCACCATAGCCTCTGGCCCTAGCCCTGCATTTGATTGGTGACGCGATGGGCATGTCTTCCCCACCGATCGAGTGATGACAGCTCTGATGTTCCCGCCAGCCGCGTTCGTAGTACCTGTTTGGCGTTTTCCGGGGGGAGGGTCTCCTTTGAGTTTAACCCGCTCCCTCTGTGGCGTGAACGCTAACAACCCATCGCCTTCAAACACCAGGTCGCCATCGTGCCCTTCGCTTGAGCTAATTAAGCAGTCAAAATGCATACTTTTTCTTCATGGATTCTCTGGGGTGGGAGGGAAACGGCTTTCCCCGACGATGAAGATGGTGACGTCATGTAGACTGACGGCCAACCCCGGGTAGCAACAGAACTAGCAGTCGTGCTTTCCACAGTTTTCTCGCTGGCTTGGCTTCATGTCGCCAGCATGAGCAGCAATTCGCAAAATTGATTTCTATGCCCTCTTCTTCCCGACGTTGTTTTCGACTATTGTATGTGGTTTCTTTTTAGATCAACAAAGAAATAGCTGCAGTGCGACAGAGCGCCCGAGAATTGTCCGGGGAGGTCGACAAGCTGCTTGCCTTGGTACAAAAGAACCACACCGAGTTCGACTCGCACGTCAAGTCTTCCCGGACCTTCATCAAGATGGCCACCGACCAACAGGTGAGCTGTTCCGGATAGTCGTAATCCACACGCCTAGTTGAATGCCATGTATGCACCCGCGAATGTCCTCTTGCGCCTACTCATGAGTAGCCTCCAGTCTACACTGCTTCAGAGCAGTGATTCCGAGTCAAAATTCTCCAAATACCTGATTGTAGTCTTTACTTGTTGGCCGCGCCCCATGGTGGCAGTCTCAGTTCGTCGCAAACGGTTTCGCGGAGCGTATCCCCCAGCTACGCGTGAACGCATGTGTTCCAGCCATGATGAAGTCGAAACGGTATGACTACATCCGAAGCTAACCTTGAATCTTTGATCTTTGTTGCCATTGTTGTTGCTGCTTGCGCTTCTGCTGCTGGTATCGTTGGTTGTGGTGCTGACAGGCGAGCTTGGGCAAGACCAGCAAAAATCTTGTGAAAGACATAGATAATTTAAAGGCAGAGAATGGGGACAGGTGCGACCACCGTACAGCTACTGCTTGCTTGGTCTTGAAGCCAGAAGGCCGACAGAGAAATGTTACCACCACAGCCCCGTTTTTCATCTTCGCGGTTCGCATGTACGGCAGGCGATTTCCCGTTGCATTTTTCCATACTCTTACGTACGCCTTAAGGGCATGAGTACATGTCGTTTACCACGGTGTCCGTCGTTCACGGTATTCGACATGGTTACATGTCTTTTTCCACGGTATCCGTCGTCAACAGTATTCCACGGATTTTTCTGTGAGGTGCGACCTGGGAGAACGAAAGTGAACAGTTACCTCTGTGCGTGCTCACTCCGAGGGGATTTGTTGCTCGGATTGTGAATATGGGCACCTCGGCTTTGATCAGGGCCACGCCAACCGACCACAATGGTACCTGTCTGTCCCTCCGGCAACACTAATGCACAGGATGGTGAGCCTTGAGCGGAGCAATGTGTCTGTTGTCACCACCATGCGGCGATTGCAGAGGTCGCTCGACGCTCTCGCGACAAAGGAAGGGGTGAGAGCACGAGCGAGAAATGGAAAAAATCGAATGATATCGCCTTTTGGATAGTCTTTTGCTTAAACGCGTTGTTGGCAGGCGTAAGGGATGAACCTATTGATTTAGTTTGTTGTTTGTCACGATCGAGAATAACTAATAAGTGTCGGTCTGTTTTCGACCCGCACGACCACATATTTTACCTTCAGCCCGCCGTGTTTCACCAAGTCTGATCCCTGCCTGAATAGGTATTCCCGGCAAAAGTTCCAACAGCTAATCGCTAGTCTATACCCCACCAAAATCTTATCTCTCTCTTCCTCTAAACCTCTTTTCTTCATGGTATTGCATTTTCTCCGTCATACCCCTACTTCGTTGGTTCATTTCTCCATTCCACCTCTGATCCATCGTTGCGTTCCCTTAGCGGTGGGACCGTTTGGAGGTTCAGACCAAGCGGCACGTGCAGGTGTTGGGGGGGCACCTCGCAGATCTCGAAGGAGCGGCTACCTGTGCCGAGCCCTTCAGGTGACGCTCCAAAGAGCTTCGGTGCTCTCTTGTGTATTCTAGCTTGCAGGGATTAACGCGAAAAGGGATGTAACTCGTCAGTGTAGGGCGACCAGGAAGTACTTCTTGCTTCGAAGCACACCGGAAATTGCGTGATAAGGCATGCCACCCGTTGACGTCGGCGGTTCGGGTTTGTGTGGGCTGAGCAAAGTCAGATGAGAACGCGTTGTCGTGAAAATGGGATATCAATGCTGGAGTCCATCGTATAGAAAAGAAGACTGTGAGGCATAAGCGGGAAGGGAGACAAGACCGGTGCTCGCACACCAACACCGACGTTTTCCGCACGTCAACCAGGGGTAACATCCTGCGTGGGTATATGTGTACCTACCTCTGACTACCTCGCGCAAACTGGCTGGCCAATGGGTCGCTTAGTTGACGTGGTGACAAACGCAAGACCGTCCCCTTTGTGTGTGTGCAGATGGTTGTCAAGGACGGAAGGTTTCACGCATTTTTCCCGCCGGCAAAAGGCTCCCCGTACTTCAGAGTGTTGCCGCACAGTTTAGTCGATAACGTCTGTCAACAGGCGGCTGTGAAAATGGAGCCGTAGTGCGGATGACAGACCACACCATCATCTGACGCCCTTGAGTAGCAACGAATTTCTGGCAACGCGACGTAAAGCTTCCGCGGTGTGTGTTCCTCTCAGTCTCAGTCCGGCGATGCAGAAGCACCTGTCGGCGGTGTCCCAGATGGTGGCCAAGATCGTGGCGACTCGAGCCGATTACGAGGTCACACGGCAGGCAGTGAACAGAAAGAATCCGGGAGAAGACAGCGACTGGGACAGAAAAGTCGAGGAGCTGAGGTATGCGTTAGTGAACGCCTGCGTGCGGTTGTCCTCTCTCGAGTCTACATTATCGAATGCGATGCTTGACAGGGTTGGTTTCGCCGAAACCCGGCTTCAAGATGCCCGTGGTTCCATAAGGTTTTGTGGGGGGTTGGTCTTTAGGGAAGGTATAACCGACCACGATTTGCAACCTCCATCGACTCAGTACCTTGCAGAGTCGAGAGAAGATGATATGATGGTGACTGGGATGCAAGGCAACTTGCACAAGGAAGACATGGTGAAGGGTGCGGGTTTGTCGGGCTTAGAAAAGCCTTGAGGGAAACAAAGCCTTGAGGGAAACAAATTCTAGGCGGTTGTGAACCTCGGGGTAGTGAAACGATGTGCCAATATTTGTTAAATCCACACTACAGCACCTCACCCAAGCCTGCATGCCTGTTGCTCTTGTCTAAATCCTCTTCTGTACATATCCTGGTCCCTCTGCAACCACCTATCTCGCTATCCATTTGCTCTCTGTATGTACTGCAATATTGCCATTTCTATTCATCTCTCCTTCGCTCCCTTCCCCCGTTCTCTCCTTAGTACTTCTACACTTTTTGAAACGCTCTACCTCTCTGTCTCTCTAGCTGTTGGTTGTCAATCCGGCCGCTCTGATTCTCTCTCTAAAGCGCGCTCTCCGTCCTAAATGACTGGTGCATATCCCAGAATCCGCTTCATGAACAAATTCGTGTCGGACGTGGTGCAAGTAGCGAGCAAGCTTAGACCGCTTCCGGATAGGCCGGTGGAGGAAGTGAGGGAGACCTTCGCTACCAAGCTCGAGCTCAGCATGAAGCTCGCCATCTCCAAGTACAAGCCGATCCAGGTAGCAATCGTCGCCTTCATGCACGGTAATGAACAATCAATAACAGAAACCGACACCCGGCGTGTCCAAGTAACATCGGACCCAAATTGAAGTCGAAAATTCATCCCCGGTAACTACAAAGAGTAACATGGTCAGCACTGTATTGTACAACAGGCCGTACGTCAAGAGGCTAGCTTTCGAGGAGGCAAAGCACGGGCCTTAAGACACCTTTCGCATACGGCGATGTTGTGTGGATGGTGGGGGCGTGCGTGAGTATGGTACGCTGCAGGATGTTCTGTGTTCCAACCGTCGTCGTAAATGTAGAAGTCTATTACATCGAACGCTACTGCGCACTCCATCAGAAACAAGTAAAACTAGTATCGCCAGGCCGAGATGCAAGAAGACAGGCGCTCCAACAACCAGGCTCCTCACCTAACCAAATTGGCGAGCAAAACAACACCAAGGACCGGGCGCCACTCAGCTCGTCGCTCGTCGTAGCCTTTACACGGAGCAACCACATGCATGTATGAAACCGGGGGGAAAAGACGTTGACTGACCCGACTACCCCGCCGCCTTCCCGCCGCCTCTGGCGTTACATGTTGGTTGGCCGTTCGCTCAGGCCGGCGCCACCATCCTGGGCAAGGTGCACCTGCTACCTTCTTGCATGGCCTGCGACAGGCCTTTCATCGTAAGTTTTGGAGTGTGCTTGTTAACGGTCCACGTGTATATTGTTCGTCACCGTGGGTGTTTAGCGTGCTTCTTTCCATTGTCCGCGGTACACAGCACCCGTTGCATGATGGCGGCGAGTCTGTTCGGCTCCGTCTCGACGCGAGCGCCTCATCAATGGCCGAACGACAAGCCACTGGCCTTGCAGAAACGAGTATCCTTCCCCGGCCCCCTTCCTTCACTGCTGGTGCCCCCTCAATATCACCAGCTACTCCATCCCTGCCCCGTTCACCCTCTACACCCCACCGCTCTCATGTGTCTCTCGGCTGTTTCGTTCCCCAGGATAATCCAGGGCCCGGCGATCCGAGGTCGGTCGTGCAAGACCATCGGGGAGAGCGAGAACGTTCTAGAGAGCGTGCCTTGGAACGCAGTGGCGGGTCTCCAGCGGGGGGGAGCAGGGGTCAATGGTGAGAGAGAACAACAGACAAGAGGCGGCGGGAGAAGTCTGTTCAATAGGCATGCGTTTATGTTGTTTGGGTGAAAAGGCCTTCCAATTTGAAGTTCGGCGGAGTAAGTGCTGGCATGAAACGGTAGGGAGAACAAGAGACTTTGAAAGCATGACTAAATCGTTACCCTGTCGACAACTAAATGGAACTACGTCGGATACACGTTTGTGTGGAGGAAAGTACGGAAAGTGATCACCTAGTATCTTTCGCTCCCGAAGCCTCGAGAGAAACCGTAGAGACAGGATAGTTTTGAGAGATACAACACCAAGGCGCGCAAATACTAGAGGCCTCACCAAATCCAACTACTTACATCAAACAAATGATCCGCTCCGGGGAAGAGAATACCTTGCAGAACAGCATAACATTTAGAACTGACGTTGAATAAGTGTATAAGGTTTTTCTGCATCATTGTAGAGGGTGGGGATGTCGTCACATTTTTCGTGTAGATTTCCCCCCCATGAGTTTGCAACATCATAGATCCTCTTACGAACATTCTGAAGATTCTCGCAGCAGAAAGCGTTTTTCATGTTTCTTCTTTGGGCTTTCAGGTGCAAAGGAACCGGTGGAGGTGGTTCCCCTGCGCCAGCTTATCCATCGGCGTCGTCTTTCGCTGTAGAGGATGATGGCGGGAGCGTGGCATCAATGACCTCCCTAGCCAGCAAGGATTCGCAGGTTCGCCAGCAGCGTTGCAGCAGCCCCATTTGTTTGTTTGCGAGGCTTCAGGGTGTGGTATGTTTCCCGTGGCAATGCGTTTCTTCGGCACAAGTGCGCCATCCAACACTTTTTTGTTCGTCTTGATCTTGTTTTGTGCCATTGGTGGTTGTCATGTACTTTGAAGAGTCTCAAAAACCGTTTGGTAGGACCATGAACCCTGTCCTCAGCTCTGCCAACAGGCCGCATGTGTCAATCCGGGTTTGCGCTGTAGAGGGTCATGGTATTTTTCAGCCCGAGTTTTTGGGCTTTGAAAGTTGTTCTTTGCACCTGCGATTGTCGGGCCGAGCATCTTTCCTCGTAGTGTGCTCTCACAAACCTGTGAGTACAAAGCCCGCCGCTGCAAGGTCGCTTGCAACGACCCGGACCACTACCTAACCCGCTCGATCCTACGCGATTTCCGCACGCCCGCGCTCTACCCACCCACCAAAGGTATCGGGCAGCTCAGCATCCAGATACCGCTCCAGGCAAGTATTTTCCTTGCGTGGGCTAGCCACGTGCAGTGTAGATTTTCACCCATCTTTGCGCATGACTGTGGCATGCTTGTCATCGGATAGGTGTCTCAACATTTCTTCCGTCGTTTGAGTGCATCATCGCACGTGCTACTACTGCTGTGACACGGCCACAATTTTGAGTCCTATACAAATCGCTAGCCCGATCTCGAGCATCCGCCTCATCGACGCGGGCTTCTCAATTGAACGCGGTCCACACGCGTCTAGGAATTTTTTCCATATCTGTCACATATCCTAGAAACTTGGACCAGCAGATAGTGCCGTAGGGGTAGAATGACGAAGATTGACGAGACAGTTTTGTGAACATCGTGTTCATAGATTCTCTCCAGTATATGTGCGGTTGACGCCTAACCGACCGAGAAACCCCGGACGAAGCAGTGCCAAACCCTGATGCCACATAAAAATTGAACTGTCCGATGCCCCAGAAAAGACCGAAGCAATGTGAAACAGTGAGCTCCGCAGCTGCGAACAAGGGTGCCGTTCGATCCAGGCTCATGCAGCGGCAGCACTCTTCAATGTTGCCCATACTTCCGTACACCTGGCCCACAACGTACGGGACTAGCAAGACCAACATGGCGGCGCTCTACGACACTTGTGGTGATACTGTGTGTCCAAACGATGAAAAGAGTACCGATGTTGCACCAGGCGATGGTCGCTCATTGGTGGCACTAGCGAGCACAACGGCCGGAGCGCAAAGGAAGTATCGACCATCGGTCATGCTCTTCCTCGCCCGGCCCCGCCTAGGCTCTAACTCCAACCCCAGTCTAGCCGCGTACACACTATCACCACCCAACTCAGCCTTAGCCCATTCTTCCCCATGTATGACACTATTTCGATGACGACAACGGTAACGATAACGATAACCAACAGGAACGGCGGGGGCAGAGATCGCTCCCCTCACAAGTACGTCATGCGGTCCGGCTTTAAGATGCGCCAGTCCGCTAGCGAGGGGGGAGGCTTGGTGGCGCACCCTAGAGTGGCTGCGGGAGGGGACGAAAGCCTCGAAGACATCTTGGGGGGGAGCAAGCGCTTGGTCTTCGGCAACGCTCATTCTTCCTCCGTGAACTCCCTCGCTTCCTCACCTGCGGGGAGAGCAGGTGACTCTGTTGCCGCGTGGGTCTTGCGGTGCTACCCAAGCATGGCAAAGCTTACCGCTAGGCCTTGAAAGCTGCTCGTCGCACCGGGAGGTCGGTATCTCTGGCCAATTTGTAATCGGCACTTTGCTCGGGGCGAGCGATCCAGTGAGACACTTACCCCCAACGTCAGACCGTCTTTTACCTCCATACTCGGGGAAAGCTGGGGGGGGGAGGGGGGGGAGGGGCGAACTCATTTTTGAATGCCTTAGTTCTTAGATAGACCTTGACCGACGGGGGAGGGTTGTTGTGCCTCAACGAGGGTTTCATGGCGAGGGGATCTGCGGTTTTAGCGAGGATCCGTCACGCGCGAATGTGATCTCGTAGACTCGTAGACGTGAAAGACTCGGTTAGTGTTCCGTTTTTTCCGGTGCTGTCGTTCTGGTGTGCTGATGCTGCCGTTCTCAAAAACAACGGCTGTCCCCGTCCTCGCCCTGTGGCCTCATTCCTTCGTCGCTTTGACCTCATGCCGTCGACTACGCCAAATCCTGGTGGCAAGGTTTGGAAGACATTATCGAGGCGGAAGGGGACCGCGGAGGGGGAAGGAGCAACGGCGGCAGGCGGAGTGCGGACGGCGTCCCCCGGGACCAGATCAACGGAACGGTTTTGGACCTGAGGCCTTCTACCGTGGCTGCTCAGGTACGGATGTTTCATGAGACACAGGATCATGTGCGCTACCACAGAAATTGATTTCTCTTCTCTAACGTAGATGCTACACAGACCCGCAGCCGTAGTGTAAGACACCTTCATCGCCAGTTCTGGTCCAAGCTGCGGCCGTTGTGCGCAAAGCACGTCTCCTTGTTCCGTCACTTAGGGATAGCGAAGAAGGGGCAAGCCTGCCTTCGTCGCGTCACGACCCTGTCGAAACCTACACAGTGCTTATCGGTGAGTTTTGTACACTTTTGTTTGTGGCTACGTTGTACTTACGTGTAGATCAATTATTTTGCAGGCGGAATTCAACGAAGCGCTCATCTGAGCACACGACCACTCGCATTCCGTTTGTTGTTCAGAAAAAACGCGCGTACCGGTTCGTTATATTCTTGTTCTCTAGGCCGTCCACCGACGAGAAAACGCTGGAGGACACATCACCTTCAGAGATCAAGAAGGAGTCAAGGGATGGACCGGGGATGGCACCAACAACAACAGACGCGATGGGGGGCGCAGAGGCGTAGTGGGAGACGGGGAAAGGTTCCACGAATCACCGGGTAGCAGCAGCGTCGACCCCGCCTCGAGAAAAGCAACTCCCTCGTTGCACCTACCAAACCTGCAGTAGTAGGCGTGGCGAGCTGCTGCTTGGAACTCGAAGCGTGACGTGGAGTGTTACCCTTCTGTACCGGAGAAATAGATAGCCAAAAATGTGTGTTTTTGCAGGAGAGCTAGAAAGAGACTTTGCGTGTGCCGTCTTGGGTTTCGACACGTCGTGCTACAGCACGACCAACAAGAAGAGTCAAGTGTGTGTTGTCCGCGGCGACGAGTTGATGCTCCGCAGCGATCGAACAGGGTCATGTGGCAATCGGTATGAGCTGCATTCGAACAACCCATCCGTTGGGTGTTGCCCTCGGCCTGTGAGTGTGGTACTGGGGCACCGGCTTCGTACGATAAAAATCCCAGCCCTTTGTAACATGAGATAGGACACTTGTATGATATTCCCCAGTATGCGCCTGAGTGATTTCGTGGTGAGCGAAGGGAGTAACGCTTGTCTTGATGGGAGCGAAAGAAGGAACGATTGCTCGCAGCGGAGGGAAGGGGTGCGTTGCGATCTTCACCTGTATATAGGGTAGGCAAGGCGATACGGTAGGTTTGATGCTGCGAGCGGCCGTAGTAGACGGGTGAAGCGGTCCTGGATTCGGATACAAGCCACTTTTTTTCATGTCATATCGATATTGTGTGCGAAAACATTTGCCAGATGGCCTATCGTTTGCCGATTCCAGAAGCGAGTTCCTGCTGTCTTCTCTGCTGACCCAAGAATATCGCTCGGAATGAAGAACAATCCACCGCCCGTTCTGGCGGCGTGTACAGCCATAGGGGCGGCTGTTTCTCTGCGATGCGTTGGTCCCGTTCATCATCACCACGCGCCAGTGGTTGTATCATGATGGTCGAAGTGAAACTTTCGCGGTAACAAACTCGATTCGCACGGCCTTCCTGTATCGGTGTCAGACTAGAGAGCTCTCCCGTATTCGTATGGGAGAGGTTGTGTCGCTCTCATTGAACTTTTGGCCACCCGATAGTTTTAGCTCATCATGTCTCATGTCGTGGTCAAGCAGTTTACCAAGACTCGGGCGATCAGCCTATTCAGCTATGTAGGTCAACCTCAGACGAAAATCTTTTCTGTGTTGTTTAGGGAAACTCAGTGTATTCAATCCGGTGCACAAGGGTTTCACGTTATCGCGCTTTCGCAGCCTATGGCGAGTGCCCGGCCGTACAGTTCCGGCAAAGGTCAACTACGCGAGAGGAGAAGAAGCGATTGTGTCGATCGCGTGAGTATCGGTGTGTAGCAAATGGCCGTTCTTGTATCGAGCTAGTCCTCAAAAAGAAATAGCCGAGATAGTTTCCTCGGCCAAGAGAGGCTTCTCGAAGGTAAGATCACCCGGACGCGTGGATGGAGGTAAGGGTGAGAGACGTCAGTCTACCTTTTACTTCAACCTGCCTCGAAGGCCTATTTGTACAGAAGGTTCGATATGCCGCCCAGCACGTGCGGGTCCATCGCCTGCAGTACGAACAAATCGTTCTACTGTCTATGCTACATGCCCGAAGGTTAAATTGAGACCATTTGTTCATCTATCTAAACGCTATAGACGTAAGGAACCGTGGCATATTCATAAAGGGTAATGGCCTTCGGCTCGCACTTTCCGCCTTTCGCAAGCCGCTAGTCAGGTGATATCAAGAACAACAGTGAAAAACTCCCTCTGTGGTGAGTTATTTGATACGCTACGGTATCAAAAAGAAAAAAATCTAACTGAATGTGGTTTGTGCATTACCTCCGTGCCGTACTCTCCTGCTTATTAACTCCTTCAAACCACACACTGCTGGCATCGGACTTGGAGCCGGGGAATCGCCCCGTGTACACGCTGAGGAAGATGTAATTCTGAGGGATGGCAGGGAAAATCCGTACTGGCGAAAAGGAACAAGCGCCTGCGCCTTCCGTATCAATAAAACGTGAAAACCCCAACCCGAGCGAAGCTACTTCTTGACAACCACCCGCCGTAATGGCGGAGGGGATGCGAATGGCGTCGACCGCGATGGTGACACCGACACTCCAGACACAGCGGATGACCACGCGCTCCGTCTTCGGTCCACGCGCGCGTCTGTGTCGCAGACGGTCACTGATCGCCAGTCACGCGAGCCACCACCGCCGGGATGGCCTCGACAAGGGTCTGGACGATGGCGACCCTGCCGCAGCAGTGGGCCGGCCGGTTCGGCGGGTCAGCGGTTGGTAATGGTGGGGGAGGGTCGGGCAGGAGGGAAAGCGGGAGGGCAAGGGGTCGGTTCCAGCCCAACCACCGTTGGATGATAGGCGACCCCCAAAGTAGTTTGTCGTCCGTGGAACGAAGGTACAATCGACGCATTGAAGAACACCGTATTTTTCTTCATGTACTGTTGTAGGCATGGCGAGCGACTTCAAACTGGAGATTGTTCACGTTTGTGGTTTTGAAAAACTGGTGTGAACTAGAAATCGCGTGGAACCAGCTTGGGTCGCTATTGCTCACTGACATTTCTGTGGGCTTGCTTCCAAATTGGGCGAACGACAGCAGCGAGTATGCCATCGCCAGGCGTGATTTCACGCTAGGGAGGTTCGTCCCACCAGTGCGCATCGCCCGGAGGTAAGCCGTATAGCTTTGGTCACTCCCCAACATCCAAAAGAAAACGACCTCCCACAATGGTGAAACCTCGTACAACGTCCTTTGACAATCACATTTTCTTTCCGATGGTGACTTTAATGTTGGAGCTGGCCCCCAGCCCGCCGAGGATTCCTTGGACTCGCGGCCTGAGACACCCTACCGCCTGGACACTAAACGTCCATGCGAGAAAGAGCTTGGCGACCTCCACGGAACTTACCGTGCCTGCCCGTTCACCATCGTCGATGCTGCCCGCGGCATTCCACCACTCTCTGGCCCTCCTCCTCGGCCTGGATTTCTGCTTGTCTCTCCTTAGACCGATCTCGTCTTCGTCCAGCGTCGCCACATCCCCGACGCTTGAGGCACACCGGATCGGACTCACGGTCAGCTGGAGGGGGGGAAACTGTGGGTCGAATGCAAAAAATTACCGGATGGCAGGGAATAGTTTTAGTACTACGAAGATGGACGGTCACTTCGGGAGGGAGCAAGGGGCGGGGAGGTCTCAAGGGCTGTGTGATGATTCATCCTTGGCTGCGTGGGTTATAACGCGCCATTCCCTTTCTTATTTTGTCGTGATACAACTCCTAGAATGATTCGAGCCAAGGCTGTGAAAACAGATCAGAGGAAGACACGGAACTGTGACAGCCGCGTGATACTAGTGAACCCCCGGCGCGTTGTGTTTGTTCGGTTCGGGATCAATGTGAGCTCTCTGCTGCGACCAGCTGGAGGCCCTTACACACGGTTTTTTACTACTTCCGCGTTGTTCGTCCGAATCGACGCGGCACTACGTCTGGGCAACGAAAAACAGCACAGTGATTCGCGGCCGAGTTAAGCCGTCCGTGAAATTTCGACAAAACTGATCTTGGCTTTGTCGCCCGCGAGCAGCTTGCTTGAGCTCATGCATATTCAAAAGCAGAATGGGATTTTTGCTTCGTGTTTAACAGAACAGCACGGTGGACAGCCGGTCATCAATCACTTGTGCGATAACACGAACTTCTTTGGGAGCGACAATGTACCTTCGCCCCAGTCTGTAAACGGCGTCTTGGAGGCGTGGTCGGCCACACAGCTATGCTGTCTTCATCAAAACTCAGGGATGGAGCTGTAGCCGCTTCCTGCTGGCGCGCTGATAACCCGTGGACACTCTCTCCTCTGGTTTCTAGGCGTCCCCCGGGCATCCCATCTTCAAGAATAGCGAACACCGTTTCTAGCCTGCCAGTGCCCCTTGTCGCACTGAACTCGGGGTCGAGGGGGGAATGGGGGTGAATGAAGAGGGCGACGATACATGTGAGCGTAAATGCCCATTCTGTTGTTGTGGACGTGAAAAGTAGCCGAATCTGAATAACTTCACTCATCTGTTGCCCGGTTGTTTCAGAATGCAAAGCGCAAGCTACATGCCGCCGAGCACAGAGTAAAGCTTGCGCCACCATCAAAGCTAACGGCCCGGGGGCTCCTTCACTCTGAGACTTCAATCGTTGCCCCGTGGAGTGTTTTCGGAAATGAACGCGCAGGGGGACGTGTACTCCATGGCTTGCGGTGGACTCCACGAGCGTTTGTAGGCGACTTTGCCGGAGCGGCTTAGTGTCCCTCTTATTTTCTTTTGCGCGAGCCTACGTCCAACACACATGTCTTGCTGGTCGTTACCAGTCTTGCTTGCTTGCTTACATGCACTTGGGAGTGTCAGTGTTGCTGGTGGTTTGCAACATGACGGTTTCGATGCTCTCTGCGTGAACAAAACATACGGCGAGAGAGAGGGAGTGATTCGTTGTGCGTCGCGCCTTGATTTAGATAATATTCTGAAAAACGCTCGGAGAGAGCGCATGTCTTTTGTTCTAACTTCGCCCCAGGTAATTTGAAACGACCAGCGGCCTGTTTCTTGGTCGAAATTGTTCCTATGAACAGCCCGGCCGGCGATTACTCCACGCTTCTGAAAGGTTAGCTATAATAAGCCAGGGACAAGCTCAAAAGATTCGTGTGTCATGATTTCGCCTTTGCACCAATCCCAGGAACCCGGCTCTACCCGCTCACCGCGACGGGAGAACGCAAAAGTTGAGTCCTCTTCTTGCCTCTGCTAGGCCGCTCGGAAGCGATCGTCTGAGGTGCGCGGGCATGCTGTCGACGGCCTCCTCTCTCTTGTGCCTGAACACAACGACCGAAAACATTTCACCGAGCAGCAGGAGGGGGCGACGGGGTCGGATGCGAGTGGAGAAGGTTAAGCCTCGGACGCCGAGTGCGAATGTAGGGCACAGGGACCATGGACGTCTGGAGCAACACGGCAATCGACCGTGGAAACCTTGCCGTGTGGCTTCAGCCAAGGATCAACGCCGGAACACATATTCCTTTTCTCAAGGCTATACTTGTTCCCTACCCTATGTAGTCATGGCGTTGTTGCGTTTCACGAAAGAAGTTTGATCCCGTACCGAGCTTGTGCCACGGTTTGGTCGTTCTAGCTCCCATATTACACTGGCTTGACTTTTGTTTCGGGCCATACCTGGCCTTGTCTGCCGACAGGTGGTGCAGGACCTCTTCCAGAGCCGCGTAGTGGGTCTTCATCGAAACCAGCCTGTCCTAACCTCGTGTAGTTTATTTGGAGGGCATTTCGTTGAGGCACTGTTGGGGTGTCGGCGATGTTAGTATGCACTGCCGCCCGCAACGGTCTGTGGTGTTGAGACTGGGTGCTTTGTTATCCCAGGAACGCGCGTAGCCATTTGTTATCCCAGGAACGCGCGTAGCCATCATGTATATATATTACACTGGACAAGGATGCTCACCCCACAGGCAAGTGCCGGGAACCACACCGCCGTGTGCTCACCTGGGGGCACCGCACTTGGACCCCAACCGCATACATACCCATTACACCCATACTTCCTATACGCGTATCCCCCACAGAGGATGCAATCTCATTTCCAAATAGCACAAAGAGCCCCCCTACTTGATACGATGTACGATCTTGCAACCCTTCACGCGCAATCAGCCAACACAGAAAAACATCCCTTGAGAAAACTTACTCAACAAAACTGGCTACACATTCAACACAAAAGCGTCTCCATCCATCAGTTTATTCACGAATCCAACGCGTTCGTCTCTGGAAATAATCTGAAGCCATCGGCACAAAAGGATCATCCTCAGAAAGGTACAAAACACTTATTCGTGCTACATCAGAAAGGCGTCGGAACGAAAACGGATATTTCTGGAAAAAACAAGTTCAAAAGAGTTGGCACCAAATCCTCAAAACAAAAACTCAACTTCTTGACCAATCAAAACGAGAATTTGGAAAGCACAACGACCCCAACCAGTCATCGTCAAAACATGTCAAATCCTTCCTCCAATACAGTGTCCAAGGACAGAATCCTAAACAGCGCGCACCCGTTAATCGGTACCGTCGCTGTTGTCCAAGAAACGATAGAAAACGTAAGCAAGCATCCACGCAAACAGCCCCTTTGCTGTCAGCTCCCAAAATTCAGCCCGAGCAAATATTTCGATGCAAACAGCCCCCTTGCTTTGCTGTTCACCTAACACACAAGTAGGCGCGACCAGAAAACAAACCAATTCGATTGCTGCTCATGCCCTCTAGAATCATGGTCATACATCACATCCCCCCCCATGATTTTCGATGCAAGAGCAGCAAAACATGCGATGCAAACCAGAAACATGAAAACACGGAACACACAAGGCATCAAGCTCCAGAAAAAGTTCGTACCGTATGCAAACTGTGTCCTCAACTGGAACTCCGAAAGCCCCCCTGCTCCCTGATCGGTATGCCTTCATGCATGTCAAACAACGCGTTATCGTCCCATTTCGTGCGCGCGGCCAGAAACACACCGCAGAGAGCGACCACTCAACTCAGGACCTCACATAAAAACCAAAGTATCGAAACATTCTAAGTGCAAAGTGTCCAGTTCGTAGAGAAGAAATAACGCGACTGAACGTACTCCCTCCAAAGAATACGGAAATCGTATGAAGCATTCAGCTGCAAGGTTAAACGCGACTAAAAATATACCGAGTACCAAGGAAAACAAAAAACACGCGTGCTGCTTCCTATTCCACAGGTTGTGACAATGCTTATCTTGTCGCAGCGTACAATTTTTATCATGAAACCAAGCACAAAAAAAAAAAACGCACACGCCGAAGCATAAACGTGTTTTCTGCATCAAAGTGCACGGTGCGCTAGCAAGGGAAAAACAGAACAAAAGAATAAATACGAAGCCACATGGCGAAGCTAAAACGTACATGCCTGCTCACAAAACCGAACAAAGTCGAAAACGTTTCACATGTTCTCCCACATGGCTGTAACAAGGTGAGGTCGTCGCTGTCACCGTTTCCTCCCCGTTCCCGGTCGACTCGAGGGCGCCACCGCTGCTGCCGCCGCTGCCATCGCCGCCGTTGCCGTTCCCCCGCCGCCACGACCGTCATGAGTTCCAGCGCCAACACAGCTGCCGGTTACGTCGCTGCTGCCGCCCCTACCACTGCCGCCGTTGTCGCCGCTGCCGCCGACGGGGCTCTGGCCAAAGCCGCCGCTGCAGTCTTGTGCTGCCGTCGGAGCTCTGGCCGAAGCCACCACTCCCGTCGCTGCTCCTGCTGCCGCCGGTGTCGCTGCCGGAGCTCTGGCCGAAGCCGCCACTCCCGTTGCTGCTGCGGCTGCCGCCGTTGCCGCCGTTTCCGCCGCCGGAGCTGCCACTCCCGTTCCTGCCCCTATCGAAAGGGTGCGTCACCCCTGGTACCGCCCCCCGTCTCCTCGCGCCACGCGTAGATGTCGTAACGGGGTCGAAGGGGTGCATCGGGGCTCCACTCCAGTTTTCATCCAACCCCTCATCCCCGCTCCCATCACCACCGCTCACCTCGCTGCTGCTGCTCACGTCCCCCTCAGCCTTCCCGGGGTCGAAAGGGTGCGTCAGGGCTCCACTCCATATTTCTTCCAACCCCTCGTCCACGCTCCCATCACCGCCGCTGTCCTCGCTGCTGCAGCTGCTGCTGTAGCTCACGTCCCCCCCAGCACATTGGCTATCAAGCTCCTCCAGGACTGGCAATGGCATGGTTGTCGCACCGACCGCTTCCTCCAACTCTTCGTCACATACCTCCGTCACCGGTGCCGCCGCCGCCGCCCCTGCGGCCGTCTGGATACCCGACGCCAACGCGGTGACCGGGGACTCCGCTGCTGCTGCCGCCGCTGCCGTTACCCCCGTCACTGATGTCGGCACCGCCGCCTCTGCGGCCGTCTGGACACCCAACGCCAACGCCGCGACCGGGGACGCCGCCGCTGCTGCTGCTGCTGCCGTTCCCCCCGTCACGGTTGCCGCCACCGCCGATGCTGCTGTCGGGGACGGCGCTCTGGCCGAAGCCGTCCACATCGCCCCCGCTCCCGCCGATGCTACTGTCGATGACGGCGCTCTGGTCGAACCCGTCCGCGCCGCCGCCGCTCCTGCCGATGNTACCCGACGCCAACGCGGTGACCGGGGACTCCGCTGCTGCTGCCGCCGCTGCCGTTACCCCCGTCACTGATGTCGGCACCGCCGCCTCTGCGGCCGTCTGGACACCCAACGCCAACGCCGCGACCGGGGACGCCGCCGCTGCTGCTGCTGCTGCCGTTCCCCCCGTCACGGTTGCCGCCACCGCCGATGCTGCTGTCGGGGACGGCGCTCTGGCCGAAGCCGTCCACATCGCCCCCGCTCCCGCCGATGCTACTGTCGATGACGGCGCTCTGGTCGAACCCGTCCGCGCCGCCGCCGCTCCTGCCGATGCTGCCGCCGCCGCCGCCGCTGCAGCCGTCTGCATACCCATTGCCAACGCGGCGACCGGGGACCCCGCTGCTGCTACTGCCGCTTCCGACGAATGCTTGGGTTGTTGTGATTCCGCGGACGGCGAAACTACAACAACGTGATACGATCCAAGCATGTATTCCTCCGCTACACGTCTACTGCTGTATCCGCCCTCCGTGAGATTCAGCTCATCGCGTTGCCGCACTACTGCAGGTGCTACACGTGATGTCGCGGGCCGCTGGGGAGAGCGAGTGGCGGAGTGTGTGTTTACGTTGAGAGAAGCTACGTTGGCGGGGGCTGNAATGTGTTCCTCCGCTACACGTCTACTGCTGTATCCGCCCTGCATGAGATTCAACTCATCGCGTTGCCGCACTACTGCAGGTGCTACACGTGATGTCGCGGGCCGCTGGGGAGAGCGAGTGGGGGAGTGTGTGTTTACGTTGAGAGAAGCGACGTTGGCGGGGGCTTTTAACGGCAAATACGCCGCAGGCGAACCGGCAGCAGCCCCCCACCCCTTCTCACCAACAAACACCCCACCACGCACCTGTCCAAGTGCACCCCCGGTGAAGCCGGCCGCTAGCTGTTGTTGCATCGGCTGTTGCTGAGAGTCACCGCCGTACACCACGCCTAGCTGCTGCTGCTGCTACTGCTGCCGACACACAGACCCGCCGCCAAACTCGCCGTTCCTCCGCTGCTGCTGAAACGGTCCGCGGGCGAAAGCTGGAGCTGTACCAGGAGCGCCGTTGCAGGACCGTAGAGGTTGCTGCTGTTGACGAGGCTGCTGCTGTGGCATGGGCTGCTGCTGCACCGATGGCGGTGGCATGAACCTCTGCTGCACGCACGGTTGTTGCTGCTGCTGCTGAAAAGAACACCCTCTGCCAAACACGCCGTACCTCCACTGCTGCTGGAACGGTTGCTGTACGGGAACACCTCCGCAGGACTGCTGTAGACCATGCTGCTGTTGACGAGAAAAACGTCCCCAACAGTCCCGCCGAAAAGTTTTACACCGACATGAAGAGCGTGCGGGTCACCGGTCGGCGCTGCCGTCCGCCGCGCAACATTCCCGAGGTCTCTCTCGGCGTGCAGGCTACGCACAAAATTCTCCAAGTCCTTGCGCGTGAGCGAGCTGTTGGCCATGAAGACAATGTGGACCTGTTCGTAGTCGGCGGAGAGGTTCCATCGAAGCATCGCGAGGACTTCTCTATCCGTGATCGCATCGCCGTTGACGGCGCGGAGAGTAGACAACACTCTGTCGAACCTAAGAAAGTACTCCTTTGGGTCCTCTCCAAGCTGCATCTTCATGTTCGTGAGAGACAGCTTCAGTGCCTCCTGCTCGGAGTCACTCATCGGCAGGCAGAACTGTTGTGCAGCCTCCCACGCCCCACACACAGTCCCAACGGAAGGATTTTAGCCTGGAAGTTTGCCCCCTACGTGGCGCGCATCAAGTACTTAAACGCATACTCATGATCGCGCAAGCAACGCTCACCGTGCAAGCGGACGTTTTCGCTCCTTGGCAGCCTGTCAAGGAGCCAGATGCGTTGGTCTGGACTCGCCGGCTTGGCGAGTGTGTGATAGATCTTTGCGGGCGAGGAAGAGCTCAAACAGCGACTTGAACGGTGGGAAGTTGCCGTCGTACACCGGTCGGTGGCTTCCGGTCCTTCCGCACGTAGTCGCGGTCACGCTGCTGCTGCTCCCGATCATCGAAAAAACTAGGCATCCCCTCGGCTCCAAAAGTAGCCGCCCCTCCGGCAGCTCCATCCCTGCTATGGTACCCAGGCGCATAGCCGGCGCCGCTTATCCTCATGTTACCTGCCGCATACCCGGCATCACCCACGCTCCTTTTCGCGGTTTCCTCCGCTGAACTCCTCTCCTCTGCCTCCTCGGATCCCCTCTGTAGGTCCGCCATCTCGGCTGCCACTTCCCCAGCTGCTCTCTCGGCTTTCTGCTTCGTATTCTCCACTTGTTCTTCTACCACTCGCTCTGTTTCTCTCGTCATCGCCGCTTTCTCGGCTTCCGTTTTCTCTCGCCTCGTTTCTTGGCTATACATTCTCTCTCTCGCCGCTCTCTCGGCTACTCCCGTGTCCGATGACCATCGCCGCGAGCCGACACCTGGCCTAGCTCGGCTCCAAACTCGGAATATCGAGTTAGTGTGCACTGCCGCCCTCAGCGGTCTGTGGTGTTGAGACTGGGTGCTATGTTATCCCAGGAACGCGCGTAGCCATCATGTATATATACTACACTAAACAAGGATGCTCACCCCACAGGCAAGTGCCGGGAGCACACTGCCGTGTGCTCACCCGGGGGGACCGCACTTGGACCTCAACCGCATACATATCCATCACACCCATACTTCCCATACGCGTATCCCCCACAGAGGATGCACAGATCGGACCCATATTCAAGTACCATAATCAAGCGAGAAACCTTGATGTCGAGGACAACGCAGCAGGCACACCCGCACACGAGAAGAAGGAGCATCCAGCGAGTAACGTCCGATAACGCAGGCGGAGGTACAACGAGCGCGACGACCAGATGCATCTCAAATTTTTCAAAGGAAAGGCCCGACATCACGCTTTAACCCTGCAGTGTCGGAGCTGTTCAAGCTCGAGTGAGTAAGAGGACAACGACGACAGCTACAGGCACAAGCAACACGTCCGGACTTGAGTTTTCGTCGCCAAGAGCGACCAATCGTGGCATGGATGAATTTTTGCACTTCGAGCGCAACAAAATGTACTACCTCTGTTTGCGGGGCTGTTTTATCCCCTGGCGTGCACGCAAGGCGTAACTAGGCAGGAATTTTCCCTCACCAAACGTCTTGAGATCCTTGTTCTAAGCTCTTACCCGCAGTGACTGCAGAGATGACTCCCCCGATTGTATCATGTGTTCGACCTCTTCCAACTGCGTGTAAGGAAGGTGGACGCGCACATGGTGAAGCGGATTGGAATCAATCCATTTTTCACGCGGGGATACATGAGTCGTCGCGCATTCCGACCACCTTCGGCGAGTTGCGAAACGTGCTTCCGGTTCTAGCATACTCCGGTTCTAGCAACACTTGTCGGAGCCACGAAAACTAGAACCAGAATGTTGATCCGCTTCGAGAATAGCAGGAAAATTATAGCGACAGTAAATCCTGTAGGGCCTGAAATACGATTGGATGTTCTTTTGATTTGGTGAGCGGCACGAACGAAGCAGCACCAACCTAAATAGCTCGGTTGCCGGGTGCGAACGGCATGTGACCGGAGCATCCTCACATGGATGTGGAGCTAGAACTTGGCTGGTCTCTACAGGTACCTGCCGCAACACGGAAGGTTATGAAGGATCGACACCGAAGACAACGCGCTAATAGTAGTGTGAATGGAACCTGTACACTGGTCGTGGCGTAACTCGAAAACGCTAAGAGTACAAACTAGTCCAAAAGCTGCAGTAGGGAGGAAAACCCTGTAGCACTACAAACATGTGCTACGTTTTTAGTGGGCTTGACATCGTGTTTCCCGGGACCTGACCAGTCGATGTACTTCGTGTTTTTGTCGTCCAGCTTGGCGCATAGGACACCACCTGACCTCTTCCGTCTTGTCGTCCCGTGACGCTTCGGAAGCAGTCGATCTAGCACTGGCCGCTGCCTGTCTTCTCCTGGCCCTGATCGACGCTTCTTGCAAGGCGGCCCTGCCGCAATATAGATGTTGTGACGAGCGGCGCAATGTTTGGCGAGCAAGCTACGGTCGTGCTGCGGGCACTGCGGCTACCTTCTCCGTCCTGTTACGCGGAACGGAGCACCCCGCGCCAAGGAACCCAATGGCGATGAAACCTGTCCTGGGGTAATAATGTTTTAAACCTAGCTGCAGTAATCTACTAAGCCAACTGTATCTGGGTCGGGAAAAGGGTGTGGATAGGAAGGGAAGGGGCGTTGCTCTCACAGTGTCTTCGCGAGCGGCTTGCTTGTGGGACAAGAAGGACATCTACGGCTTGGCGTTGCCCGAGGTAGATACCGGATCTTAGGCTCTTGGTCGGGGTGATAATCTGAAGGGCGAACTTTCTGTACCACGTGGCAGGTAGAACGAGCGTACAGGAAGAAAAACGGGGGATAATGCAAGGAAACCAATGCTTGCCGTTTGTCGAGAAGCTTTTCCATCCGGTCTTCTCTTTCCAGGCAGGAGTCTGCCTTGCATGGCTGTACCGGCTGATGTCGGTCGACCGCTCCATCAGCACCCTCCAAACCAGCCTCCCCGCGCCTGTCCTCGGCTTTTCTCGATTTCCCCCCTTCTGCACGGTCACATTGGTCAATCGTGTTTCAGCTCTGAGACAACGGGCGAAACGCGGTTGTTTGGATGTCATAGACGGTGATGGCGGGCATAGGAGTTCATGCAATCAATCCCAAGGGGGTTCAGTACTCAGGAAGGCTTTCGAAAACATGCCTGTCGATGATGCCATTTTTTCAATCGTGCCCATGCTTCCACCACGGGCGGTGGCTTCTTGCTCACCTGTTCCAGGCCCCCTGCGTGGTCGCCCCTCTCTGAGCCCAAGAGCGAACAGCAAGTCAGTGACACTGCCACGGCACCAACGGCGAGGGAGAATGAGGAAGAGTTCAGCCCCATCTTCAAGGGACAATAGACTACTCATCCGGTGGAACCATGTTGCTTTGCTGGGCCATCTGCTACATATCAATAGGTCCATATTCCTTCGCTGATGTGCACCTAATTATCTTTGATCATCTGTGGCAGCATCAATTCTACCTACGGATCAATATATAGCAACCTACAGAGGGGCAACGTTGCAGTCATGGAGTGTAGACTGCTGTCCTGGCACGCAACGTCGAGCACAGCATTCCAAGTCGCGACCTCACTTGAGATGGTGAACCTCGTTCGAAGCAGCCATCACCCCACCACCACACGACCGTGGATTGAGAGCAGCTTGCAATGTCGCGCGTGTCGTGAGGTTGTTTGTTCTACTTATTTCCTTCTATTCCGCGTCTTTGGCATAGGTGTGCCGTTGGCTCTCGCTGCTGGTCCACAGACTGCCACCTACCGACCGCCGCTCATTTTGACCCGCGGAGCGTGCCGGTACTGCTGTTCGAACACGCACAAGGCGGTTGTTGGGTGGAAATAGGCCCACCAAAGCTCGAAAGCTCGGTGTTGTAGAGCCTTGCCTAGAGTCAACCGCCACGTGTACGTCCGTACATTTTTGCGCCCCCATAGAAACTCGATACGGGTATGCATGCGAACAGACGACAACGTCTCCATCCAACCGGTAGTCGGAACGTGTTTTGAAAAGCAGCCGTTTCATGCTTTTCTGCTTTTTGATGTCTCTCTCTCCATGAACTCCAAGAGGAGAGTACATATGACATACCCACACATTAATTTTTTGTACCAGTCGCATGTCCCCTAAGACAAAAAAAGGAGGTCAGGAACACGAGACACAAGCGTCATTTCTTTGCCAAAAAGAGAGCAGAGGCAAAAAGGGTCAGCCCGGTCGATCGATTGACATTCCTCGTGCATGTTTACCGGGACTAGCTCGTCGAAGCCCTCGTTGCCTCCGGCCCTTTCCGTCCCGCCCGCTGCCCACCGCGCTGCTGCTGTCGAAGACGTCGACCTAGACGACGGGCTGAACGACAACGAACTGAGTGACGGAGGCAGCGAGACATCAGCAGCAGTAGGCAAGAAGAACACCATGGGGTCCGTGGACCGAAAGGGCGATAACGACCACCCGGGAGGCGGGAAGAAGATGGGCGAGGTCGCGAACGCGATCGCGTCCTGCGCGGCCCTCTCGTTCTTCTCCATCTCCATGATCCTGGCCAACAAGGTGCGGTGTGTACGTGAGCATCATCGTCTATGTTGTCTAGATTGTTCTTGGAGCGGGAAAACAGGCCTCACACGACAAGTCAGTTTTCAGCACACGAACAAGTCTCGTTCCGTTTTCACCCAATCCGACCAGCGGAATAGACGCCTGGCGCTTCCACTGCGTAGGGTGGCAAGCCCCTCAAGTATCGCAGGTTGTTGTCTTCATCAGTCCCATCATTTGTGGCACACGCACATCGCGCACCTCCGTGTTGGGTTTTTAATGCACCCGACTGCAGCGGAGAAACAAATCGAGAAGGGCGCTTTATGGGCGCTTCATGGGCGCTTTATCCATAATTTGGTGTTTGGTCCAGCAGCAGCTTTTACCAGGCCAAGCTTGCGGTAAGACCAAGCCACAGATCCTACGCGGAGGGGACAAAGGCCAGTTGTACACGGCTTCAGCCCGCGGTTTGCCTGCTTTGCGTTCTGTATGTTTTTCGTCAATTCCTCCGCAAATTATTTCTTCGACGCAGTCGAGCGCTCGCCGTCCGCTCACAACAGCAGTTCGTTCGTTCTTCTCCCATCATTGTACTCTGTCGTCTGCCCCTCTGGCCCCTATCCTCCACTTCTACTAGCTAGACGACCCAACCGGGGTCACATAGGAGGGCGGGGTTGGACCCCCTCCTGCGGTTCATGCCTGAGGTATTTTTATCGCGAGAGGGTACAGCAATCCCTTCCCTCGCGACTTACGAAGTCGATTATGGTTTACTAACAAACGAGCTCTGCAGCGTGTCGCTTTCATCCTAGACCAGGATTTATTCAGTGAGAAAGAAAACTCTCTCTGCCGGGGCTCGAACCCATGACCTGGCCCTTAGAAGGCTGCGAGGCTACCCACTAGACCACCGGGGCGACCGGGTATATATATATGCAGTGTGGTACAGCGTGCATTGCGACAGCCGCCTAGCCGTATGCGTAGACATCCCATGAATGCGATAAACCGCGCCGTTCTGAGGCTTCGGTGGTGCACCCAACTACGTTATCAGAGCCAGCAGCAGCAGCAGCAAGCAGTAACGGGAACTCCTATCCTTTAATCATTTTTCCTCGAACTGAGCGTCTAAACGCTGGGATGCCAATGATTTTTGACTGGGGTGGCGCGTGAGCGTGTCTCATGAGCGTTCAGAGATCCTGTGTGAGTTTTTTGCTTTGGCAAACTACTCGAGGAAATGCACGCAACCACTACCGCTCTAGCATGAGTGCACTGCTGTATTTTTCTACCACGCTGTTGTCGCCGCCGCTGTTCCGGCCAGCATAACCCCGCAATGATGGTGACTTATCACCTCAGTCCAACATAGATACTGCTGTAGCAGTTTTTGTGCAAGTATCCCGGCGAACGATCCACGCGACAACCATCCGCTATTTGTAAAACGAACACCGCTGGTTGGTGAGTTTCATGCGTAGACTTCCGTGCGATATGAACAGCAGGACTGCTGTCGGAGTACGGTCCGCATGCTACCTTATGTAATTCCTTTTTTTTTTTTTGCTCACGAGAGCTTTTTAGCTATATTTCCGCTTTCACCCGCAAATTTCGTAAATTTTTCACCCCACGGGGATTCGTTGTACAAGGAGAGGGAAGTGTACGTGACTGAGTTGGGAAAAATCGATAGGACGTACAGGGAGATGTTTGAGGCATGGAATAGAGAGGAAAGGACGGTAGCTGTAGTGGGGCATAGGAGGTGGGTTGAAAAGGCGGGAAGGGATATCGTTAGGATAGACAGAGTAGGGAAGACATTTTTGAGCCACCTTTGGCAAAGTAGAAAGGAACGATTGGCCATCGGTGATCGGTCCTGTGGGAACAATGCTCCGTCCCCTCGAGGACGCGTGGTCAATGGTCTAGCAGCTAAGGCATGCAAAACATAAGAGCACGGGGATTCGAACTCACGACCTCTGCGACTAGCGGATTAGGAGGATATCACTAGACCACCGGGGCGACCGGTACACTACTGCTGTATGATTCCACTGCGGGTCTTACTTCTAAGTAGCTGCTGTACGCCCGGCCGGCAGTAGCACTAGGTTCGTCATGATGCATCATCCGTGTACGTTACAGCAGCAGTGTGAAGTAGTTATAGGGCTGTGGGAACTATTCAGGTCATCGTGTTTAACCTTTTAAAAACAGCAGGCTTTCGAGCAGGCACGAGTTTTTATTTTCATCCATCCGTGTACGGTACGCATGCAGCTGCCAGCGTAGTCCAGCACTTGCTACCATCGTCGTACTCATGGTTACGCATGCACACAAACTTACGTCCGTTTTATCTGTTGGCGTCATCCTGTCCGTCTCCCAACTACGTTGATGTTTGGCATTCTTGGAAGGACAATACTTGTTGTAAGACTGTTTTTGATAAGCACCATCATCCGTGCGTGAGGCTAAAATATAGAATCATGATCGGGGCGTTCATGGGCCAATGTTTGTCCCGCGCACACACAAAATCCTGTGAAAACAAGACAAGCGGCGCCCGCACCTCAGCTTATTTGGCCGGAGGCTCGATGCTTACTTTGCTGTCTGCCTCAAAATGAGCAGCTGTTCTTATTTTTGGCGTTCGTTCTTCGAGCATGTATCCCGCCTGGAGATAATTAACGGGGTTCTTTTGTTTTTTGTACCCCGAACGCCCCATGCAGGACACCTGGAGGTTTTCTCGGTGGATTCAACCTGCTGAGAGCATCATGTTCATAAAAAACAGTATCTAATGAGAAAAACCGTCGTTCAACAGTTACCTCCAATGTACCGCAGATTCAGCGATCACCACAGCAATAGGTAAGAAATACAGACACTGCTGCATCCTTTTGTGTGTCTATTGAGCGGAATACACATCTCGGTGATCTCCGGGGGGTACGCAGATTTTTTATAATGGGTGTGATGAACTTTACGCGCTGTGCTGCTTGCTGCTTGCTGCTTGGCTGCCAATGTCTTGCACTCGTTGATACACAAGGAACCTGAGTCTCTCCTTGGTGCAGAACGCTCTCGACAAGAGCCCGCGAGCGTGAAAACAAAGTACACGCGCCGACACCCCAAACACGATTTCTGCAACAAAAGGAGTGACTCAAAGTTCCTTCCTTGTACTTACGAGTGAGAGGCATAGGCAGGCCAGCACAGCCCAGCGCGTCAAGTCCATCACACCCATTACATACTATAATTACTTACCCCCCGGAGATCTCCAGTCTCCGAGATATGTATCCTGCCGAGTACACATACACAGAGTATCGCCCTAAATAATGACGCATAATGAGCAACATAGCAAGGGTGTGTTTAGTAAAGTATACTCATACTCGAGAATTTCCCAGTATATGCTCAACCTTGAGTATTGCCCTTGAGTAAGTATTTCAAAAATACTCGTGTGTACTCAACCGTTTGAGTATTTGAGAAACACTCACGCGTACTCAGATACTTGAGTATTTTACTCATCTATTGAGTATTTCCATAAGTATTTCAAAAATACTCATCGATACTCAAAACATTTGAGTAAGTATTTTAAAGTCTCTTCATGCGTACTCAGCTACTCAAGTATATTTACTCGACTCTGAGTAAAAAGTCCTTTTGAGTAAGTATTTAACAAATACTCAACTTTTACTGAAGCCTTTGAGTATGTGTTCCGAAAATGCTCATCCGTACCAAAGCGTTTTACCCAAGTATTTCAAAACTACTCACCAAACACTCAGGAGATGGAGTAAGTATAAGTATTCCAGACTACTCACGCGTACTCATTCATTTCAGTAGGTACGTCATATTGCACAACTTCTCGATGTAGGTGTTGCCCCGTGGAGCTCCGAGGGGCTTGCAGTAGTTTTCCACAAGGAAGAGAGAGGAGTCCTCGCGTGCCCCTTCCCGCCGGAAACCGTCTGGTGTTTTTAAGTTCTTGACGGCGGACACCGTTTCCGCCGTTTCAAAGAACACTTCGTATTTTACTCATCCGTTGACTATAACTTTGAGTAGGTGTTTCAAAAATACTCAACAAATACTACATAGTCTGAGTAAGTATTTCAAACACCCGTACTCGGAGTTTTGAGCAAGTTTTTCGAAAGTACTCATCGATACGCAGGCGGTTGAGTAAGTATTTCAAAATCTACTCTGCGTACTCAGCTACTCAAGTATAGTTACCCAATCTTGAGTAAATCCTTGAATAAGTATTTCAAAAATACTCGACTTTTACTGAAGCCTTTGATTAAGTACAGGGTTAGGTTGGGGTTGTATTTCGAAAATACTCATCCGTATTCTCAAGCGTTGTAGTAAGTATTTCAATTACTACTCAGCCGTACTCACCAACCGATTTTAGTATACTTTCTCCAAACGCTCCGAGTACGGCGTTTAGTATTACTTTACTAAACACACCCTTGCAACATTGAACCTTGTTGTGGTCCGCAAGGGTCACAGCACGCTCGGCGTGTACTTTTGATGGCCTCCAAGTGTCGATCAAGAATGACACGTCGCCCTTTGCAACGTTGACAGTTAGTCGAGCCCCTTCAATATTGAATGGTTCTTGCAGGGTGGCGCGCACCGCACGCGGTGTCCAACGACGAAGGGTACGCCGTATACAATACAACAAAGCCAAGCACCTACCCCCACCCCCCCCCCCTT